TAAAAGTTACACCAGTGTCGTTTGAACCATCCTATATATATATATATATATATATATATATATATATTTACCTTGAATTAATTTTGACTCAGTTTATTTTTTTCTTCTTTAAATTGAGTTAAAATAACAATTTTTTAAATGTAAAAAAGTTAAGTGTAAGTGAGGATTGTATGAGTACATGAAGTTCTTTATACTATTCTATTGCCTAAATTTACCTTTGTATTTATTGAGTTAGTTTGGAAACATAATATTGATAAATAGATACATTCTGTACTTCGTGTTAGTGAATGGTGAAAAACTTGTAAAATATAGGGTAGAGAGTACATTACTCGTTAAGCAAGCATATACTATAGGGTTTTGTAATAAACAAGTTTTTAAATTAAAAACTAAAATATATTTTTATCACTTATTGTAGTATAAAAATTCTTTATAGTCATTTATTGTTTTAAGAAATTTACTTTAGTTCTTTAACATTTAAATTTAGATTAGTATTGTCCTTTTTAAACAATGATTATTTTTAATTATAGGACAAAATTTAAAACTTGAGTGTCTTTAGAATTACATTAAATCTAAACTAAGTATCTTATATACAACTATAGATCAATACACTTCTTATGAAAGATTTAGAAAAGTTTTTCAAAATCAAGATAGCTCTGCAAGAAATTTTTAACTAACCAATTCACTCCCTCTTGATTAGGCCATATTTTCTAACATTTCTAACCCTCCATCGCCAAGGCACCAATGGAAAACCACTAGCAGAACCTTGATCATGGTTTATGGAAAGCAAAACCACAAGAATCACATTCAAAGCACACCATAATTTTCAAATATAAAACTGCAAAAGAGGTGATGAACAAAGATGATGTTACGATCTACCCTACATGAATAAAAAACACAATTGAATAATTTTATAAGAAGAATCTTGATGAGGATCTCTTTGATCCTTTTTAGCATTGAGGAAGCAAGTAATTTCTTCGATATTGATGGTGAAGTTGTCAATTGTTAGTCCGATTGGAATTACAAGAGCAAAAGATATCATATCAAGAGGATAGGGGAGCTAACACCCCTTGAGACATGCTCCATATGCTTATTGAGAATTCTCCTAAGCCTTGTTAGTATAGGATTTATTTTATTCTTGTTTTGCCCTTGTCTCTAATTTTCCTATTTTGCCCT